CCGTTTTCCCCTCATGTTCGAGCTGCTCACATGTTCCCCTCACGCCTTCCCCCACACCCTTCCTGAGGCGAGCACAATTGCAGACCACAGAACCCCTCACCTTTATCCTTTTTCTCCCCTTTTTTCATCCTTTTTCTCCCTTTTCTGTCCCTTTTTTGTGCCATTTCTGTCCCTTTTGTGCCATTTCTGTCCCATTTTCCCCTCAGGTTCGGAGTCACTGACGCCTTCCCCTCACGCCTTTCCCCCGCACCTTCGTGAGGCGAGCACAGCTGCAGACCACAGAACCCCTCACTTTTATCCTTTTTCTCCCCTTTTTTATCCTTTTTATCCCATTTCTGCCCTTTTTTTCCTTTTTGTGCTNTTTTTATCCCATTTCTGCCCTTTTTTTCCTTTTTGTGCTGTTTCTGTCCCTTTTGTGCCATTTCTGTCCCATTTTCCCCTCAGGTTCGGAGTCGCTCACGCCTTCCCCTCCCGCCTTTCCCCCGCCCCTTCCTGAGGCGATCGCAATTGCAGACCACAGAACCCCTCACCTTTATCCTTTTTCTCCCCTTTTTTCATCCTTTTTATCCCATTTCTGTCCTTTTTGTTCCTTTTTGTGCCATTTCTTTCCCCTTTTGTGCCATTTCTGTCCCGTTTTCCCCTCAGGTTCGGAGTCACTCACACCTTCCCCTCACGCCTTTCCCCCATCTCTTCCTGAGGTGAGCACAGCTGCAGACCACAGAACCCCTCACCTTTATTCTTTTTCTCCCATTTTTTCATCCTTTTTGTCCCTTTTCTGTCCCTTTTTGTTCCTTTTCTGTCCCTTTTTGTCCCATTTTTGTCCCTTTTGTGCCATTTCTGTCCCATTTTCGCCTCAGGTTCGGAGTCGCTCACGCCTTCCCCTCACGCCTTTCCCCCGCACCTTCGTGAGGCGAGCACAGCTGCAGACCACAGAACCCCTCACTTTTATTCTTTTTCTCCCCTTTTTTCATCCTTTTTGTCCCTTTTCTGTCCTTTTTTGTCCCCTTTTCATCCTTTTTGTGCCATTTCTGTCCCTTTTTCCCCTCAGGTGCGGAGTCGCTCCCTCAGCCTCAGCGAGCCCCAGGCGCCGCCATTGCTCCACCCCCAGCTCCTCGTGGCCTCCCCGCCCCGCGTCCCCCTCACCACCAGGTAAGAACCAAAAAAAATTAAAAAAAAAAAATTTAAAAACCCCAACATTTCTCTATTTTACTTTAGGGTAAATCTGGAAGAATTTGTACTTTTGGGGTAAATTAGAGAGAAAACTTTTAAATGGTTTTTTTTTTTAGAAAACAGATTCAAGCAGTTCCTCCCCCAGCTAGTTCAGGGAAATATTTTCATTTAACATTTTGTACTTTCTAGTACGAAAATGGACAATACTAAGTAACAAAACCTTTAAATTTAGTGCTGGGAAACGCTGTGGCCTAGGCCAGGCCTTGGTAGGCCAGGCTTTGGTAGGCCAGGCCTTAGGCCACAGTTATTTCTCTGAGTTTTAAATCCAGAGCATATGTAATAATAAATAAATTTTAATATACTTATTTTTGTGTTGTGAGATAGAATTAGGAGCCAAAAGTAAGGCAGGCCTAAAACTTCAAAGAGTGTAAAGAAAAACTTAATTATTAACAGCAAAAAGAAATAATAAATTCAGAATAAAACTTTCAGACTGCTCTTACTCTTCTTTTTCACACCTTTTTTTCTTTTTTAACAGTATACAGAAACACTTTAGTTAGTTGTTAATTTAAATAATCTTTTTTAGTTCACTTTAAGTTGTTCAGTTATAGGGACTTTTTTCCACAAGAAGAGAAAAAAACAGCTCTTTTTTACTAATTCCTTTTAACCAAAAAAATAAAAATTCTCTTTTTAAAAAAAACCTAATTTTCCTTTAAAAATTTCCTTTTTACAACTTTTCCAAACTCTGTTAAACTCATGGGGTGTTTACTGTTAGGAACGAACTCTTAAAAAGTAAAAATTCTTTTTATATTTTTTTTCCCTGTTCACTCGTGGGGTGTTTAGTTTGAGGAATGAACTGTTCAAAAGTAAAAGTTATTTTTATTTTTTTGTCTCTGTTCATGCTTTATTCGTGGGAATAGAGATCAGGTTTGAATTTGAAGAAAATTTAATTTTAAGATAAAAGGAAAAAACGATAATTCAGGGAGCTTCTGTGCCTTAATTAGCTAAAAACTAAAAGTAAAGGAGATTTTTTTTTTTTGCTGTCTGCTGTAGACAACAAAATTTATGTGAAGGATACAGGGAAACAAACAAACAAAAAAACCCAACAAACTTTACACTTCTTTTATCCTTTACCCTTAGACCCGCATTTAAACATGCAGAATTTAATACTTCAATGGGACATTCTGAAATCCACCAGAATTCCCATTCAATCCTTCAATCCA